TTTACAGACTCTGGGCCTGCCATGGCTTCCTTATAGCTATTAGGTTCATCTAGATTTATTAGTGTACCATTACTAATATACGTGTCCCCTTCGGTAGTAATATGAAAACCATAAAACTGGGGATGAACTCTAACTCTTTCGGAACGTCTAAGAGGTAAGGACTCGTCAATTGGTTCAACCGGAGTTTCCTCCTCGGGTTGAGCGCCAGCGTTAGAGGTTCCTTCATCGCTCGACTCTTGAATCTCTTCAAGATCGACTTGCCTCCCACTGTCTCCTTGGCTTATGAGTTCCCGCTCTCGGAAAACCCCTCTCCTCACAACGAAGACAACATTGTCACTCGGTCTATAGAAGAGATATCCAAAGGATTTTTGTGGGTAGCCGATGAATATACATCGCTCACTACGAGGTTCGAGCTTGTCGTGAGTTTCTCGTCTTACGAAAACTTCATAGCCCCAAACCTTGATATGTACCAACGAGGGAGCTTTCCCTGTCCACATCTCGTGAGGTGTTTTGGCAACCTTCTTTGTAGGTACTAAATTGAGGATATGGGCGGCAGTCTCTAAGGCATACCCCCAGAATGAGATAGGTAGTGAAGCACGACTCATCATGGAACGAACCATGTCTAGCAAGGTTCGATTACGCCTCTCAGCTACACCATTCAATTGTGGTGTCCTAGGTGGCGTCAATTGTGAAACTATTCCACATTCCTTGAGGTAGTCGTGGAATTCAAGACTTAGGTACTCTCCACCTCGATCAGATCGAAGCATCTTGATTTTCCTGCCCAATTGATTCTCCACTTCTTGTTTAAACTCTTTGAATTTTTCAAAGGTTTCTGACTTGTGCTTGATCAAGTAGATATACCCATATCTGATATAATCATCTGTGAAAGTCATATAGAAGCGATTTGCATCCCTTGTGGTGGATCTAAAGGGTCCACATACATCTGTATGTATGAGATCCAATAAACCCTCACCCCTCGCACAAGTGCCAGTGAAGGGTGACTTGGTCATCTTTCCAAGTAAACAAGATTCGTACGTGTCATCTTCCCTAAGGTCGAACGACTCCAACACTCCATCCTTTTGGAGTTGGGCTATGCGCTTCTTGTTGGCATGTCCAAGACGACAATGCCACAAGGATGCTTTATCCATACTATTGGAAGAATCCATACACAACACATCATTTCCTAGGTTATCTACAACCATAACAGTTTCATAAATTCCATTACAAGGCATTGCTTCAAAATATAAAACACCATTTAGATAAGCATAAATCGAACCATTCTCATTATTAAACGAATATCTAAGTCCTTGTCTAAATAAACCATGAAAAGAAATGATGTTTCTTGCCATATCTGGCGAGTAGCAACAATTATTTAAATCTAAATTTAATCTATTTATAAGCACTAAAGAATACACTCCAATCTTGGTGACAGGCGACGTTCTTCTGTTTCCCATGATTAGATTTATTCTTCCAAGCTTCACATCCCTATTTCTTCCTAGTCCCTGCAAATCAGAACAAATGTGGTAACCACACCCTGTATCAAGAACCCAAGAAATAGCATGAGATGAATCATTAGATTTAATTGTGTAAATACCTGCGAAAGATGGCTTGATCTTCCCATCCTTGATGGCTTGCAGATATTCCGGGCAGCTTCTCTTCCAATGTCCTATTTTGTGGCAATGGTGGCACTCTGCCTCCTTTGGAATTTGGGTTGGGCTTAGCAGGATCAACCTTGGTCCCACTAGAAGAGGAACCATCTTGGGACTTTCCTTTCCGGTGGTTCTTTGAAAAAGCCTTCCTCTTCTTGCCCCTTCCCTGTCCAATAGCCAAAACAGGAGCAACGGGTGGATTGGGAGTTGGTGCAACAGACTTGTCCTTGAGGTTGCTCTCAGCAGTCCTCAGGAGCCCTTGGAGTTTGCTTAGGGTGACCTCTTCCTTGTTCATGTGGTAGGTCATCCTAAATTGGTTGTATCGCGCTTTGGTGATATCTCTCCATCAAGTCTAGATGCATCTCATAAGGATACATGTCCTCATAGGATTTTTGGAATTCTGAGTTCATTGTGGCTATCATGATGCAATGGACCTTCGTTGCATCACGCTCATGGTTCTCAAAGACAGCCATTTCTTCAGGAGTAGCAGTTTCTGGATTGACCTTCTCGAGCTTCTCATCGAGAACATACTCTTTGTCCTCGTAACGCGCGATCGTGCGAATGTAGCTTATCCATTCGCCAAAGTTCGTTCCATCGAAAGTCACTTTTTGACAAAGGCTCATTAGCGGGAATGAGCTAGCAGTAGCGTTGTTTGCGTTAGACATCTACAAATAGAAAGGAACAAAGTTTGATTAGAATTAAGCCCCTAATTAACACCCAAAAAGAAAATTAGGGCTAGGACCCAACAACATTATTTACACATTAGAAAAGGGATGCCGTAATCCAACATGCAAATAATTTGGAGGTAAGTGAATGACGATTCACTAATTCTTCACCATGAAAAACATAAGCTTTAAGTTTTAAATGTATTGAGAATTCCTAGATTTCATTGAGATTCATTGAACCTTTCAATGGCATGTTTAAATCTCGATATGCCCCTCTCGTTTGTGACTGGGATGCCGAGGATCACAAAGTGGGTGTGAATAATCATGCAAATGTACAAGATGCCCCCACTGTTACAGTTACCTATTCAATGTGCTGGTTAACCACACACGCTCCATTGAACTATAACAACAATGAGTCACCCTTTGCCACCTTTGCTTAGAACCCAATTAATGTGCCGGTTAACCACACGCGCTCCATTAATGTCTTAGCAAGGGTACAAAGTGTAATTTCATGGGATTGCATCAATTCACTTTTCCTAAAGTAACTAAGATTGGGAATTTTGTAAAACATGTTTAGTTACTTTATATAGATTCATTATACTTATTAATGAGAGGAGGTTTGCCCTATCCTACCCGTTCGGCTAACGACCCTTCACCAGTCAAGCAAGCGGTGGGTGTGAATGTACACCCATTAAGCGCCATTTTATAGGCAGCAACCTTATACCCACCTTATAGACCGGCTTCGTGAATGAGGCCTACTAACGGTAAGACTAGCATTTTAAATTATACATATATATATTAAGCTTGTAATAATATAATAGTATACAGTTGAATTTTAAACTTGTAAAATTCTAGGGATTGAAATTTAAATTATCCAAATTAAACATTTAATCATAAAATATAAAATTTCAAAGCTTGAGGACAAGTTTAGAACTTTTCAAAACATAAGGATCAAATAGCAAATAATATAAATCAACTAATTAGATTATCTCAATTTGATCTTATTTAGAATTACTTGCAAGACAATTTACCAATTCAATTCAAATAATCAATTATAATCATATAAGGAAATTATTATTCAACTAATTGACAATTATCTTTTATTTGGTCAAGAATATACTCATATATATGATTAAAATCGGATTTTAATGACCCAAAACAGTTAAGGCAAGTATCCTCAAGTAAAACAGCAAGAAATCCCGAAACTTCCTCCTTCTGACGCTCGAACTCGCCGAGTACCTCTATGGACTCGCCGAGTTGGGACTCGCTACTCGCCGAGTCCACAGTGGAACTCGCCGAGTTCCACAGGCAGTCTCACAAAAATCGAATTTTTTAAGCAACAAGCAATCAACCAATGTAACAATTCAATAGAAATCAATCAAAGCTCTGATACCACTGATGGGATTGTGCCATAAGAACTTTCCTATGTGCACATGCAAACCCTAATTCTTGGATCTAGGTTTCTCTAATTGAACATGCATTGTATCCAAGACTTACAATACTAGATCTAATGTAAACAATTGAATCTAATCATATGAAATCAGATCTAAAAGAATACCTTGAATTACTTGCTTGATACTTCTTCTTCTTGGAGCTTAGAGTCACAATTGTCACTCCTCTAATGGCTTACAAACACCAAATAGAAAGAAGATGATCTTGAGAGAGATAGGAGGGAGAGAAATCGGCCCTAGGGTTTCTTGCCTTACATGAGTGCCGATTTCCCCACCCCAACGGGATCTATTTTATACTATGAGCTACTAGGGTTTCTCCTTTAACCCTAATTGAATGACTTAGGACCTAAGCAATCCAAGATCCTTCTAGATAATAGGCTTGGACGATTTTATGGTATCCAAACCCTAAAATTCGTCCACCCTCATATCCATAAGGATACATAGCTCAAAATACAACTATCACACATTTGACAGTTTATGCCCCTTTATTCAATTAACCTCTTTAAGTCACCAAATTAATTCTCAATTAATATATGACTTATATTAATTAAATAACATTATTATTTCTTTAATATTTATTCTCATAATATTAACAATAATATCTCTTCTCTCTTAACAAATCATCCTGTCAAGTTGCTATGGTGAAGGCAACCCAAAAGGACCATGCACAACCGGGTCAAGTACTTACCAAATATAGTTACAGCCTAGACACTAGTCCAACAAATATCTCTATCAAAAAAGTTAATAATCTACAGTGCATGCATGAACTATTAATACTTAAACCCTAATAAATGATACGGCTTGGACAGGCACAATACCGAATACAAAATGGACTAACTAATAAGCCCAATGACGCAACACTAAATACCCAACAATCTCCCCCTTTGCGTCAATTGAGGCCCGAACCCTTCAGCCTTGGATTCACTTCTGCACCTCACACACGTTAGGAATCATAACATAAACTGCTTGGCGAATATCGATGTACCATAGAACCATATATGAGAATCACTTGATATCATCTTTCTTGTTCCATTTGAACTTGCTCATTTGCTCCAAAATGTACTCCAGAAGGTTTGTGGTATAGAGATGCTTATCAGAAAGATAGAAGCATCCTTTGTGAAAGTCTGCTCCAGCTCGTTCCCTAGCAGAGTAAACACTCCACTGTAAAGCTTACATGGCTTCAACTTTTCAAAATCCTTGGGAGTTTCTTTAAGTACAGCATAAGGCTTTTTTTTTCAGGATCGCAACAACCTCAACATCCATTTCCCCAATCTCCTGAATATAGGACTTAATCATGTGCTTGAGATGAGACATGACAGGTTCATATTTTTCTTTGTGCTTTAATAATATGTTGTAAAAAATGAACTAGTCATATGGGTTAAGGCATAGAAGACCTGCGAGAGTAAACTCATAGCATTGGCTGGCTGAACCTCGTGCCACTTTGAATTTGGCATTTGGAAAGCTATCAGTCTCAATCGATCATGTAACCTTCACACCGGTAATTTTGCTCAATGACCAGCTTTCGTATTGTGGCTTCATATGCTTCAGATAAAACGAAAAAAACATATGATCAGCTCCGCTATCTGTGGTTGGAGCGTTGGCCACTTTAACAAGCGAACGAAATCTGAAGGCTTTTGGAGTAATTAGCAGATCCAGTTGTGAGTCTCGTGTGTTCTGAAGATCAAACGAAACTACTGGTTCTAACCAATACTGGCTTGGAAGATCAACAGCATCACGTTGGATTTGCTTCAGGGTCCATTTGGGGAACAGGAGCTTTTTGCTCTGAAGAGTAGCCTGTGCTTCTTTCTCAGCCCTGTCTTTGTCTTCAGCTTCACGGATGATTCGCTGGTGCTCATCCAGTTCAGATTCACGAACTTTTCTCCTTTTTAGTTCTTCTTCAGTAGGCGCTTCTTCATCTTCAATATCAAGAATTGGGTCGTCACGGAACAACTTTTCCTTGCCTTTGGGTTCATTCTTGACAATAGGCTTGACAGGAGCTTTAGGACCTTCTTTTCTTGATCCACCAGCAACACTTTCTCCCCTTTGTTTCGGATTAAAGGATTGATCAGAAACATCTTCAAGGCGGTGAAGCATGGCGAAGACTGACCTTAACTTTTCTGCCAGATGCTTACGTATGGTGATGGTGATCATCGAATCTCTGGTTATAATGCTATCAAAGAGCATGCTAGCAACATCAGTGATACAGCTTCGCATGACTGCCCTCTCAAATAACAGATAATGGACCTACTTCTTCAAAGCATCAAGTTTGGTACTTAACACATTGGCTTCTTCTGACTTGAGAGTGAGAGAGTGCTTCAAGGTACTCTCCTTCACCGGTTTGTCTTTAAGCTGAGGAATCTGAATTTGAGATAGTGGCTTGAAATGATTCATAGTCAGTTTTAAGACCAGTACGAATCTCTTGGAGTTTCGTCTTCTCAGTATTGAAGAGAGATCCCAGACTCTTCAATGCTTCGTTTGCTGATGTGGCATTGGAATTGAAAGTGGTTTGGAAGTTCTCCATAAAGAATTAGTTTCTCCAATTATTTTATCGACTTTTTCGGTCGTGGACTTGCAAACCTCAGTAGAATCGACGACATCCTTATTCGATGTTTCAACAGTAGCAGAGTGTTGCTTCATGATTCGCTCAAAGAGAGACTCAACAGCTGCTTTGGCATATGCATCAGTACAGGAAGCTTTTCTTGAGAGAATCAGTTGGTCAATCTTTTCATGGAGGGATTGCAGTTGCACTTTCGTGATGTGCACCTCATCTTCACTCTTAGTCCGGATTTAGAAGGGACAGTAAGTAAAACCCCCAATATCTTCGTCTTCGTCATCACAAAAGACCATGTCTGGGTCATTATGGTTAAGAGGGGAAATGGGAGGTGAAACATGAGTGGAGAAACCTGAAGTTTGAGCCCCCGTATCAGATACGTTGATCGAAACAGAAGGTGGGATTGATGTAGTGACAAAACCTGAAGTTTTTTCCCCCGCATCAGATTCGTTGACATTAACGAGAGGTTCGCCTGTGGTTGTTGTTGTAGTAGTTTCAGTGTAGATGGGTGGCGGCTGGGTACTAGAGGTGGTTATTTGAGAAATAACAGGTGGAGGTTGAGATGAAATTGGTGGTGGGAAAGGAGCGATTGTAATATGAATAGTAGTGTGAGTAGGAGAAGGAATTGGAGTTGTAACAGAATCGTTTAAAGGTACCTCTTGATGTAGGGAAGGTGGAGGCGAATCACCACAAAGTGAGCCCCCAGATTGAGAACTTTTTCTTTTGCTTGATTCTACTCTAGTTGGATCAGAAGGAACGTACTCAATATCGCTTGTTGAAGATGAGTTGGGCTGCAGTGTCATCATTCTGAGCTTTCGCTTCTTTGGAGCCAAAGGAGTTGCACCTTGAGCCTTTCGCTTCTTAGGAGTAGGAGCTTGAGAAGATTGACCTTCTTGAACCTATTTCTTCTTATTTTCCCTTCTTGCCTCCCTTTTTGGGTTTATCAACTTCATCTATGGAGCGTTGCATCTCAGAAGTAAGCTCCCTGGGACCCGAAGCAAGGTGCTTCTTGTACTCAGTGATAATTTTGCTAGCCCCAGAAACACATTTGTACATAGTCTACGGAATAGACCCCACAAATAAAAACTTCGAATTATCAGCGAGAATAGTCTTTGTAGTGTGGAAGGTGGCAATCGACGACATTAATGATTCCGCCATCACCGTAACATTGAAGTTTTCCATTGACCGTTGCACCACAATCATCCAGAAACATGCGCAAGAGATCTCGCTGTGTCGAGATGAAGAATTCATACTCTGCACCAATTGAGCCCAAAGAACGAACCCATAATCAAGGTTAATCCCATGGTAGAGGCCATAGAGGATTGTCATGAATGATTTGCTAGCACAGTCGGATCCAGTTACTCTCTCATAGAAAGCCTTGAAGAGAAGAGTAAATAGACCATTCCATTGGGGTGGAAGACATGACTTCTTGAACTTGGTGATAGTGGTGAGAAGATCAGTATACCCCATTTGGTAGAACATGTCGAAGATCTGGGCAGTAGAAATAGACTCCGGATTCACCAATGAATCGACATAGTTTAGTCCAAGAAGAGAGAAAAACCTAGACTTTGAGACTAAGTGTTTCTTATCAAGAACTTCAAAGATGATCTTTTCCTCCTCCTTGACATACTTAGAAGATGAAAAGGCCTTCGACAACAGTGACATTGGAACACATTCAACCTTTGTTAAGACAATGACCAAAGATGAGTACTTCAAGCACTCGACAATGGGAAGCATGAACGCGTCATATTTGAACGGAGCCAAGTCGAGGATCAGGTTTTGGTTGGGCTTGATGGTGAGGAAAGAAGACTGAGCAGTGTGTTCTTGAACAGATGATGAATCGGAAATTGTTGCAGGTTTGTGAAGAAGAAAATGCACCGTAAGAGAAATCGCCTTTAGGTTTCTTGAGAGTATTGAGAGTGGTAAACAAAAAATAAGGTATTGGTGAAAGCCCTTCATACGATTTACCAGGAGAGAGAAAGATCTTTGATGATGATTGCATGATTGTCTCTGAAAAGACGCCTAAAAAAGCGCGATGTGACAATTGTTACTCCGAACAAGGTGTCAGGCAGCGTGATGATAGGAACCGTTTCAAATTCATGCGCCTTGTGGTTTGAAATCTTATCCATTCCTCTGCCTCTTTATATTTTTCCCTAACACTTCATATTCGAATAATCTGAGCACCATGGCATCGAGAAGCGAAACTGTGAATCTGAAAAACACCAAAAGTACCACGAACTAGACTTGTGGAAAATCATAAAGATCTTCGTGCAAGACTGTGCCAAAGAAAAATAAATAAAGCAAAGTATATCTGTGGGATTTAGTGATGTCATATATGACACGAAAACTTAGGATCTCGGGCACGAATTTCTTCCTTCAAAGTCAAGAGAGATTAAGAAGTGTCTATGTGGTTTCCCGTTGAAGTACGATCAAATGTTTGTTAAGAAACATTGAAAGGTATCTTTTTAAATTCAGGATTGTGAGGTGGCTTTCGCTTCAACCAAACTACGAACTTGATATCAGACTGAAAGTAGGATGAAGTACTTGTGTGGCCTATGTAGCCCATAACATCAAGTAGGTTTGATAATTTTTCAGTGACTAGGTAAAATGTTAAAAATCTCAAAAACAAAAATGAAAATGGATGTTTGGGGAAGAAATGTCTTAGTTTTAGACAATTTCATAAAGATCTCGCAAAAATAAAAGACATTCCATGAAACACCAAACAAAAGTGGTCATCGTTGGTGTGTTGGTGAAAAACTAGAACGTTCAATTGTTCACAGTCAATTCATTAAATGTGTTGGATTGTGGGTTTCACTCAGCACATGGTAAAACGAAAGTAAGATCATCAACACAAATGTTGTGTAACCATAAACCTCAGTGGTAAAAGCTGAGAGTCTCAAGGTTCACGTTGACGAAACGAAATTGATGGAGAAAAGTGATGAGGTGGTGTAAGAAACAACAGTACCTCTGCTATGCGAAAGTGACCAAGCAGATAACTCTTAACTCAATGTGAGAAGAGTAAGGTAGCTCATGACTTAAGTGAATTTAGCAGCCTGATTGGGAAGAAACGATTTGTATATATCGAATCGATAAGGCTTCACTTTAGAGTCGTTGAGGCTTTAGACAACATGCATCAGCATGCTTCTAGGGACACCTAGCTAGTATAAAGATGAAGAAAATATACCTACCTCATAACGCGAATTGAGATCAACAACAAATAAGCACTTTAGTGAACAACTCAGTCATCTAGTAATATTCGGTTTTTAGATTTTGTGAAAAGTAAAAAGAAGTTAAAAAGTAAAGATAAACACAAAGAATAAAAATATTTTTGTATTTTTGATTTTATAAAGAAAACAAAAGGAAAATATTTTGTATTTTATTTTTCTGAAAAATAATTAAAAACAGAAAGAAAAATCTTTTTGTATTTTCTGAAAATAAATAAAAACATAAAATATGTGAAACAGACTTTTAGAATGCATAATATACAAAATATACAGGAGTTCGAAACCACAAGTAAGAACTTTAAGTTACTAACCAACCATTCACTTATAAAGAATGGGTGAAGCGAATATGAGCGAGAGTTCGTTCCATTTCGTGTCCTGAAAAAATGGAAACGAAATAGAGCGAACGTTCGCCTCATTTCGCTTGATAAAAACTTATGGAGCGAAAGCGAAAGTGAGTGATACTCATAGAAGTGAAGGTGGTTTCGGAACCGATTCATCTCCCATCATTTCTAAGCCTTGGAGTATTCTATTAATGGTTGCTTCAGGCAAGGCTTTCGTGAATATGTCAGCTAACTGATCAGCAGATCGAACGAAATGAATCTCGACACTACCATCTTCCACATGATCCTTGATGAAGTGATACCTCAATGCGATGTGTTTTTTTTTAGTGTCGCACTGGGTTGTGACATATGCAAATTGTGCTTTCAGAGTCACAGTAAAGTGGGATTCGCTTCATATTCAGGCTGTAATCTCTTAATTGACTTTGAATCCATATAACCTGTGAAGCACATGATGCTGCAGCGGTGTACTCAGCTTCGGCTGTGGATAAGGATACGCATGTTTGTTTCTTAGACTACCAACTAACGAGTTTGCCATCGAGAAATTGACATCCGCCAGTAGTGCTTTTTCTATCCAACCCACATCCTCCAAGATCAGCGTCTGAGAATGATTGAGCGAAGAACCCTAATTTCACACTGGATACCATATACCAAGAGATGAGGTTCGCTTCAGGTATCTAAAGATGTTCTTGACAGCCACAATGTGAGGTTCGCGTGGATTTGCTTGAAACCTGGCACAATAACAAACGGAAAACATAATATCTGGTCTACTAGTTGTTAGATACATCAATAAGCCTATCATTTGACGATAGAGAGTCGTATCAGCAGCCGGTTTTTCCAGAGATGGTGCTAGTTTCGTTCCGAATGCCATTGGAACCTTCACTCTTGAGTCTCCCATCATTCCAAACTTGGTCAGTAAGGTCTTTGTTTAAGCTTCCTGATTTATGAAAATGTCTTATGGTCCCTGTCTTATATTTAGTCCAAGGAAAAAGTTAATTGGACCCATGGAACTCATCTCAAATTTAGTCTCCATCAACTTTCTGAATTCAGCTGTTAAGCTAGGATTCGTAGAGCCGAAGATGATGTCATCAACATAAATTT